TGCACTTGATGATTTTCTTAAAAGCACTTTGGAAGTCTTTGTTGAAATAGGCATAGATGATGGGGTTGAGGAGGGAGTTGGAGTAGCCCAGCCAGTTGATGACTGCCCCCAGCCACTCGGGCATGTAGCACTTACTGTCACAAAAGGGCAGGACCAGCGCCACGATGAAGAACGGCAGCCAGCAGAGGATGAAGGTGCCCATAATGATGCCCAGGGTCTTGACAGTCTTCCTCTCCCGTGACAGAGCCATCCTCCGCTTGGCCTCCGCGTTCTTCTCGTTGCGCCGCTCGAAGGAGGGGGGCGGCGGGGAGCCGCACGCTTCGCTGGGCAGCGGCAGGTGAGTCTTGGAGGAGCTGTTGCAGCGCTGGACCTCGATGATCTCCAGGGCGGCCCCATCCTCGCCCTGTCGCACCGCGCCGTTGACACAGGCACCCGGCTTGGGCTCCACAGTCCGCCGCCAGCTCTTGCCGGGCTCCCCGTTGCTTTTCTTCTGCAGGGCGGCCGGAGAGAGCGTGAGGCAGGTGTCGGCGATTTTCTTCTTCTCCGCTTTCTTGACGGTCTTGCGGATCCTGAAGCGGGCCGCCTTGAAGATGCGGCCGTAGAGCACCAGCATGAGGAGAAGCGGGATGTAGAAGGCGCCGAAGGTGGAGTAGATGGTGTACCCGTGGTCCTTGCTGATGGTGCAGGCGTCGGGGTCCGAGCGGTCCTCGGGCGTCCTCCAGCCCAGCATGGGCGGGATGGATATCAAGAAGCCGATGAGCCAGGTCAGGCTGATGAGCACGGCAGCCCGCCGGGGAGTCCGCTTGTTGACATAGTCGATGGGGTCCGTGATGGCCCAGTACCTGTCCAAGGCGATGGCGCACAGGTGCAGGATGGAAGAGGTGCAGCACAGCACGTCCAGCGAGATGAAGATGTCGCAGGTGACCTGCCCCAGCGTCCACTTGTTCAGCACCTGGTAGAGGGCCGCCATGGGCAGCACGAGCACGGACACCATGAGGTCGGTGACGGCCAGCGAGCCGATGAGATAGTTGGCCACGGTTTGCAGGGAGCGCTCCAGGGCGATGGCCGCGATCACGCAGGCGTTGCCGCTCACGGCGCACAGGATGAGCGTCCCCAGGAGCAGGGAGGTGAGCAGCTGGTAGCCCAGGGTCACCTCGGCGAGGCCGGGGCCGCCTGCCCCCTCGGGGGAGCGCTCTGGGGAGGTAGTGTTGTTGGCCACATCCATGCCGGGCGGGGGGGTCGCTTCAGGAGACGGGCATGGGAAGAGGCGCCGGTCACTTGTGCGCTCTCCTGGCAGGAGGCATCGCCGCCCCGTGCGCTTTGGCCACGCCGGGCACCCCACCCCCGCC